GGCTAGGCTAATACTTCTAGGCCTAGACTACTACTAGGCCTAGAACTAGGGTAGGCCTAGGCTTTCTTTTGGTGGACAGTCAGCTGTAAATACGAGAGCAACAGCTATTAGGTGGACAAACTGGTGGAGGCTTCAGTTTTGGAAGTCAAGGGTATTAAAATGACTTATTTTCATATAAATCAGGGGTTGAAAATCCTATTATTTTATACATTACTCTCATTTATGGAAAGTGGGGCTAGGTAGTAGGTCTAAGCTTAGGCCAAGGCCTACTTCTTCCGCAAAAGTCTGTTGCAAGATTAATACAAAAAGACAAAAAAAAACACCAAAAAAAACATATGTGATGTTATTTTGAGGTTATTGTAATTTTAACTATTTATACGTGGCTGGGAACTATTTATTATTGATTTTGATGCTTAATGAATTTATATTTTTCTCTCTTTATTGATGATTTAAATATTTTATATTCTCAAGATATTCAGCTATAAAATTAATATATCTTTTTTCTTCATATAGGGCTGGAAAAAATTCTACTCTCAGGAACTGTTGGAGGTGGATTTAGCTTTGGTACTTCAGCAACACCAACCCAACCGGTTTCTAGTAAATACGTATACTGTATTATTAAATTACAAGATATCTAAAAAAATTTTTATTATTTAATTAATGAATGATCATAGTTTTAAAATATAAATAAATTTTATCTATTTTTGTTAATACCTAAGTAAGTTTTTGATTTCAAGATTGCTTTACATTTTTAAGTGATTTATATTAAATTGAAAAAGTATCAGCATTTTATTTGTATTTTTAAAAAACATTTTAAAATGAATTGAATGAAGACTTTATTGTTAGTGATAGTGAGATTCTTTGATTACCCTTTTTACTAATGATGATAAAATACACCATTGAGTTATTATTTTTATTATATTATTTTTACTTTTTTGTTTTCTTAAAATACATAATTTCTTCAGATACTGGATCGTTTATTACTCCAAACACTACTTCAACTACTGGTCTAACTTCTGGAGGATTCAAGTTAGGTGGTCAAGGGTCCACAGGCCTAAATCTTGGTGGTGCTAAAACTATTGGGCAAGTGGCAACAACACTGAAGCTTGGTGGTATTGCAACATCTACAGCCATAACTACTACTCTTCTCTAGGAAGTCTTTCATTTTCTGCTACAACAACTGCATGCGGTTTAACATTAGGAGGCACAACCAACACCTTTGCTGGAACAACAGGAACAGGTCTCACTTTGTGAGGAGTAGCATTTACAGGTGGCCTCGGTACAGGTGGTCTTTGAACTGGTGGCCTGGGTACAGGTGGTCTTGGTGCAAAAAAACCTCCTAGTCTTGGAGCTGGATTAGAAATTGTTGGTAGGATTCTTATTTTAATACTAACGTAAGATTGCTCAGTGATTGTCAAAGCTTCTCTGTTCATGGGCTGAACATTTCTATTTATTTATCAATAGGAACAGCGACACCCCCTTCTCTGCTGTCAGTACAGCTGGTAAAGGATTAGGAGGGGTAGATCCAGCTTCATTGAAAACTACAGTCAGCACTACTAATGGAAGCACTAGTACAAGGTAGGTTTCCAGAAGAAGTAGAGTCAGAGTGTATAGAACATTTAAACTACCATCAATACTGTATTTTACCAGCTGAAGCCTGTGGGGGTGGGGAGGGCTTGGTAAGCGACTAAAACAAAGGTTTATCTTGTACCCTAATCAGGCAAGCGTTGCATTGTGATCCGTTGTATCAATTGCCACACCCAGTCCCACTTCACAATTGTGTGTGAAAGCTCGCCACTAGGTGATAAGTTATCGATATCGCAATTGTTACTCGTTGCTATTGATTGTTACATTCATTATTACTCCAAGATTACCACAAAATTGCAAAAAATTGGCAGCAGAGCCACCGAATGCCTAGTACCACTTGATATCCCATTCCAATATATTTATTTACTTATTATACATTCATATAATACTACTAATAATAATAATAGAATAAAGGTTTTAAATGTAGTACTAAAAAACATTAAAAAACAAACCGCCAACCTGTAAAAACAATGAGTATTACTTTCATTCGGATGGTTCGTAAAAATAGACTTCATTGACAATGGAAAGTAACGTAAACCAGAGTGCGTTAATTTGCAATCAGTTATCCACTTGACCAAAACAAACATGGCTGATTGGTCAGTGTAGCAACAACATTTACGTTAATATAATTTAGATTAAATTTCTCATATACCCATGAGTCAAAAAAAAATAAATTATAGGCACAATTCAACAACTGGATGAATTTTTTTTTTTAATGAAACTACCACAAGCAGAAGCAACCTTGATCATGCAGCATGTATCGCAGTAACTTCTCAGCCATTTTGTTTTTTTGAGTAGTTTACCAGTTTTGTATTTGTCTGGTCTAATCCCTTCAAGGGTACTGTAGTATAAAAGCCCAGTGCAGGCTATTAAATTTTGTTTGACAGCAGCATGTGACATGCCTAAATATGGTTGATGACATATCATGACCTTATATAGGCACATCATAATTATATATGGGTATATTAAGCCTTGTCCAGACTATCAAAGTTTAGTTGACAAAAACATGTGACATGCCTTAATATGGTCATGATGACATCACATCATGGCCATATACAGGCACATCATGACTATATGGGCATACAACAGTGTTTTGTCAAAGGAAATTGATAGTTTGACAGATCTTTATATATCGTATCTTACACAAGGATATTTACTAATCTATACAATTCTTTCAGAGATTATGTGAAAAAACAGAAGGCCATAGTTCAAGAGATCGACCGTATCTCACTAAAGCCGATGCACAAAGTGAAAGAAGACATGCTAGCTCTACGTCAGCTGCTGTCCGTTGTTGGCAACAGTCTGCAGACGAACACCATGGCGATCTATAAGCTTTAGACGGACTCAGCATATGAACTAAAAAATGCTGACATGGCACACCGAACCCATGGCGTACCCTGTCCCTGCAGATGGACCATACCGCCCCTGCAGAGTACGTACTTATTATAATCACTATTTCATTTAGGGTAATAGGTGGTGATGATATTGGTGATGATACTAGTGATAACATTATTGCAGTATATTAGTGATAATATTGATGGTGACATTACAAGGTTTTGGTAATAGCAATATTATTGACGATATTGATGTCAAGATTTAAAGTTCAGAATCATAAATATCATATTGAGCAATAATGATGATATTAATAATAATAAAAATAATAATGATGATAATAATAATAATAATAACTAGATTTGAACTCGTCATTGAGGACGAGTTAGGTGATCTGCCGTACTTTGACCCTCACGAAGCACGCGCCTTTCTGATTGAAAAGTATAATATTCTAAAACATGCTCTATTTAAAGAGTAATTTTGAGCATTCTAAAAGGAATTTTAAAGATAAAGAGTAATTTTGAGCATTTTAAGGACTTACGAATGTGTACACA